CACCCCCCCCACCCCTTCACAAACATTTTCAGTACGATGTCCAGCATCTTGGAACAACACATTTACATCCTTATAATTGTTCGTTTAATAAATGATGTCCGTAATTACCAGTCCTAATACACACTGTTTCCTGGTGGGAGTTTCTTGATGTGAAACACCCTGTATGATTGATTTAGTTGAATGATTGCTTTAACGACATTTTGGTTGTTTAGGTAATTATATTGTGACGTCATCAAAAACCTGTTAAATCATGAAGCATGCATTCCCAACTTAAACTTAACAATTTCCGTATGACATTCCCTAAAGGCTCAAGTCATCTGGAATAATTCAATATGGTGCAAAATCATTTTGGAGCGATAAATAAAACATACACTTTCCCTATTAAATAGAAGTCTTCCTTCTTTTGGTTTTCATCAAAGAATAAAACTAGTCTACTTGTACCATCCACAGGGCAGAAAAAATCAGAGCCTACAATTCTTTAACATTATTCCAGGGGTGCAGAGACCCTGAGATAACTGACGGTGCTGTATACAAATACTTATTACTGAGGGTGCTGTATACCAATACTTATTATTGAGGGTGCTGTATACCAATACTTATTACTGATGGTGCTGTATACCAGTACTTATTACTGATGGTGCTGTATACCAGTACTTATTACTGATGGTGATGTATACCAGTACTTATTACTGATGGTGCTGTATACCAGTACTTATTACTGACAGTGCTGTGTACTAATACGTATTACTGATGGTACTGTATACCAGTACTTATTATTGGTGGTGCTGTATACCAGTACATATAACTGACGGTGCTGTATACCAGTACTTATAACTGAGGGTGCTGCATAACAATACTTATAACTGACAGTGCTGTATACCAAATCTTATTACTGGTGGTGCTGTATACCAGTACTTATAACTGACAGTGCTGTATACCAGTACTTATTCCTGATGGTACTGTTTACCAATAATTATTACTGGTGGTGCTGTTTACCAATATTTATTACTGTCAGTGCTGTTTACCAATAATTATTACTGATGATACCGTATACCAGTACTTGTTACTGGCGGTGCTGTATACCAGTACTATTACTGAGGGTGCTGTATACCAGTACTTATTAATGACGGTGCTTTATACCAGTACTTATTACTGAGGGTGCTGTATACCAGTACTTATTACTGGTGGTGCTGTATACCAATACTTATTACTGAGGGTGCTGTATACCAGTACTTATTACTGGTGGTGCTGTATACCAGTACTTATTACTGAGGGTGCTGTATACCAATACTTATTACTGGTGGTGCTGTTTACCAATACTTATAACTGGTGGTGCTGTTTACCAATACTTATTACTGACGGTGCTGTATACCAATACTTATTACTGAGGGTGCTGTATACCAGTACTTATTACAGGTGGTGCTGTATACCAGTACTTATTACTGAGGTTGCTGTATACCAATACTTATTACTGGTGGTGCTGTTTACCAATACTTATTAATGACGGTGCTTTATACCAATACTTATAACTGACAGTGCTGTATACCAGTACTTATTCCTGATGGTACTGTTTACCAAGAATTATTACTGGTGGTGCTGTTTACCAATATTTATTACTGTCAGTGCTGTTTACCAATAATTATTACTGATGATACCGTATACCAGTACTTGTTACTGGCGGTGCTGTACACCAGTACTTATTACTGAGGGTGCTGTATACCAGTACTTATTAATGACGGTGCTTTATACCAGTACTTATTACTGAGGGTGCTGTATACCAGTACTTATTACTGAGGGTGCTGTATACCAGTACTTATTAATGGCGGTGCTTTATACCAGTACTTATAACTGGTGGTGCTGTATACCAATACTTATTAATGACGGTGCTTTATACCAGTACTTGTTACTGGTGGTACCGTATACCAGTTCTTATTACTGACAATGCTGTATACCAATATTTATTACTGACAATGCTGTATACCAGTACTTATTACTGGCGGTGCTGTATACCAATACTTATTACTGACAATGCTGTTTACCAATATTTATTACTGACAATGCTGTATACCAGTACTTATTACTGGTGGTGCTGTATACCAGTACTTATAACTGGTGGTGCTGTATACCATACTTATTCCTGATGGTGCTGTATACCAATACTTATTACTGGTGGTGCTGTATACCAGTACTTATTCCTGATGGTACTGTTTACCAATAATTATTACTGATGGTACCATATACCAGTACTTATTACTGGTGGTGCTGTATACCAGTACTTATTATTGGTGGTGCTGTATACCAGTACTTATTACTGGTGGTGCTGTATACTATTACTGAAGGTGCGGAGAACACTACTACTCCACAGCAGCGTGTAGCTGAGTCTGGTCAATACAACCTATTGATTCACTCTATCACTATTCTCCTTTCTTTTTAGAATCTGCAGAAAAATTCGGCTGCATGCTGAATATACCCAATACTACACACACAGCAGAGGAATTCAGTCTTGTTTTTGTGTCATAGCGATCATTATAACTTTGCTATGCCCACTTTCATCATGATGTAGCTTTACAAGTTGAATTCAAGTTACTACGGAAGAAGGAGCCCAGCACACGGTTAGTATTGATACCGTCAAATGCCATTCATTTAATGTTCACCAGTGACTACGATTGGAATTTGTTCCTGGGCTGTGAGAGCAAAGCAAATCTCAGAGCAGCGTTGTTCCGAGACCAAGACACACTGCTGAATGAGAATGATAAGGGGATTGCAGAATGTGTATATTGACTCTCAGGGCAAACCATTTTCATTGATGACCATGAATTGAGATGTATTGAGTCAAGGGTTCAGAGGATTGGCTACAACTGCCTCTGGTCATGTGTTTGTATACAGTGTATGTAAATGGAATATCTTATTCCTAGAATTATGGATGTAAGGACTTCGTAGTGGCGTAATTTCGGAATTTGTATTCGTTTTACAGTAAAGTTTATTAATTAATTTCATTTACAACCGATGTGACAATTTTTCAGCGTTGTCTACAAGGTTTCTCGTGCTCGCTCTGGTAACGGTAAGTCTGTGCTAATGTGAAATGTCCCATGAGTGGAAATCATTGCTATGACCTTGAATTTAGACATAATGGAAGGGGTCGGCAATTAGATTAGTGTTTTCATGGGGGTAATATTGAGCAATAATGTGATAACGAGTGTCTTGTTGCCGTGCCCCTATCTCCAGGCATTGTTAGCATTATTACAATATAGTATTGCATTGTTCATATACTGTATGTACATTGAAATACAACAAATACACCATAGAGAATATCATAGTGGCACTGCCACATCTACAATGGGAAGAAATCTCTTCATCAGGAAGACATAACTATATGTAAGTAAAAATGAATGTTGGTTCAGGACATGAAGATGATCAGAGGTATCCCAAACAAATAATCTTGTTGGCTAAAACCATTACTAGGCTAATATTACGACTAAGGGAAGAATGTGGCATTTCACAGTCAAAAGGTACAGTGCAAAGACACTTAAGGGATATGTCATAGATAAAGGACGCATCAGGAATATACACAACAAGGACACATGGGCAGACATATCAAAGACACACAGCATGACACATCAGAAACTCAACTCACAGCCTGAGACACATCAGGGACAGACAGTCAGACACATCAGGGACTCACAGCCAGTCACATCAGGGACTCACAGTCAGACACAACAAAGACACATACACATCTGGAACACACAGACTGAGACACATCAGGGACTCAACTCACAGCCTGAGACACATCAGGGACAGACAGCCAGACACATCAGGGACTCACAGCCAGTCACATCAGGGACTCACAGCCAGTCACATCAGGGACTCACAGTCAGACACAACAAAGACACATACACATCTGGAACACACAGACTGAGACACATCAGGGACACACAGCCAGACACATCAAGGACACATGGACATGTATATCAGGGATTGATCTTAATTGATTGAATTAATCATGTTGGTATTATTTCCTAAATTTTCTCATTTCCTTTTTGTGTATAGAATGTAGCATTTAAACCAAATATTATTGGACTGAAATCTTTCCTCAACAATGAAAGCGAAGATGGCTGAATTTAGTATCTTTTGAGAAATCCCTCATTAGTTGGGTGAATACATGTCTAGCAAATAGTTCTTGATATAATTTTGGTGTTCATGGAGACTTCTTCTGGTGGACACCTTTTTCAGTGATTATCATTTCACTTACTGAAACGGTGCCATTTTACCATCAGTTTACTTGCTCATCCTCACAGAGGGCTTCTCTGTTGTGATAATGATGAGTCACATAAGATGTATCTGACATTTCCAAAGAAATCTATCAAATCTATAAGATTTCAAGATTCCGTTTTTTGGAATGTAAATAAGGTGTAGCTATAGTGTTAAGTTTTCAGCAAGTTTGAGCTCTCATAGTTATAGAGGCTGATAATCTAAAAACATTTCTGGCATTTTCCCACATTATTTTCATTTTGGTTAGTCATACACACACTGTATTTATCACATAATGTACTGTGTTATCCAGTGAATATAACTATTTATCACATAATGTACTGTGTTATCCAGTGAATATAACTATTTATCACATAATGTACTGTGTCATATTTTTTGCGTATTAACCCATGTAATATGACCTATCAGCCCTGTGATTGGTTTTAAGTTTCAATTGTTTCAATTGTGACGTCACACATAGGACAAGTACATGACAACCCAGACTTACACACTGGAGTCAAAATGGCGGCTTTTTTACGTTACAAAATTGCATGAAAATTATTGTTTTACGCGAATAAATGCCATAAATCTTGATTATGTGATAAAAAGGATCTCACACTCGTTTTCATTTCATATGAATTGAAACTCATGTAAGATCCTATATATATAAACATATAAATAATTAGGTCAGATGTCAATATTACGAAGGCCAAATTTACTACTTACAGTAACTATCCAAGTTTTTCTTAGCTGTTACACTTCAGTGTCAAAAAATAATACGGAGATCTCACTTTTCTGTCGGTTTCATCAACTTGTAGATTTTCAAAAGGATTAATTGTTACATGGCAAAATGATTAGTGAGAAAAGGAATTGGATATCAGTCTCCGAGAGTTGGTTTGATCCACCATCTTTGGTACAGAGATAAGATACTTGACTTCACAAATGTTAATTTTTGTTTTGCTTTTAGCTCATCATTTTGATGTATCGCTTAAAAAGTCAAACGTTATAAGTTTAATTAGAACTTAAGATGTTAATCTAGAATTTAGAATGGACATCACACTCCAGAAACCAGAATTAGACGAGCTTCCATTTTGCTGCCTAGTGACCAAATCATGAGATCATGGATTTTGTGAGACAAAAATTATAGTCCAGTAACTCATTCACCCCTGAAGACATATTTGAACTCTTCCAATCCAAAGGTTAGAATAGTCCATTACGAAATGTCAGGGGTGAATGAGTTAACACAGAATAACCTCACACATTATAATTAGATTTCTGATACAAGCTGATCCTTAACATCAAATACCAGAAGTCTGGTCCTCATCTAAGACCACAAAATGACTCCAATTGGCAAATTCTAAAATCAAACCTGTTTCTTTTCTAAGACCATAGCAGTTGGACAAAGGTGACCCAAAATAGACAATGCCAGAAATCTTTCCCTAACTTATCAGTTCATAGCGGTCTGACACAAATGGATGCTTATAGAGAAATATTGAGAGTTCAGACCCTAACTGCAGACCATAATGGTCTAATCTAAGTTGGGTCTTATGGATAAATTCAAAAACTCAAACCTGCTTCTTTTCTAAGACCATAGAGGTCTGATGTTAATTGAAAATTATTGACCTTGTCTGAAACCCTCACCACCACCTGAGCAGGCTGTGGTAGGACTGATACCTGACTCAGCAATCAGGTAGAGCTTTGATTGGTACTTAAATAATGTTTACATTGATTTTACATAAATCAGGAGGTTGTGCCTTCTGGATACAATCTGGTGGTCTCAAACTATCCAGGTTTTTCATCCTGACACCTTGGAGCCTGGAAACGAATTCTGAATATAGATTTTACGTGCATGTTTATATAGTCATTAGACCCACGATTTATGTTTTCGTGAACATCGAAACGTGATAGAAATGTCACAAAAATGTTTGTATAATCACCATAGATCATGTTTATATGTTTTTGTAAACATCCAAAGGTCATAGAAATGTCACCAAAAGACCTTTGGCAAACAATTGAGTGATGGCTGGTTGATAATATTTAACCAAAAAATAAACTTTGTGATGGAGACAGACATTGTTTATTTATTCCGTATGTTATTGTAAAAAAAGTCAAGAGAGTTATAATGTATCACGATGGCATTATAGGTTTATCTGTACAAAGGTGTCACTGTAAAGAGGTGTCATAGTTCAAATGTGTCAATATACAGAGGTGCCATTGCTAAGAGGTATTTTTGTATAGATTTATCATATTTAGATATACAGTTACTGAGTGTCATTAGTCAGGTATTTATGTATTGTCAGATATCATTGGTCAGATATGTCAGTATACGGAGGTGTCATTGTTTAAAGATATTTGTTTATAGGTATCTTTTTTTCAGATTTGTCAGTGTACAGAGGTATCATTAACCAGAGGTTTATGTGTACATAGGTATCCTTGTTTAAACATATTAGTATACAAATGTGTCATTAGTTAGAGGTTTCAGTGTATTTTAGTGTACAGAGTTATCATTTGGGAAGATTTGTCAGTGTGCAGAGGTATCATTAACCAGAGGTTTAGGCATACATAGTTATCATTGGTCAGATTTGTCAATGTACAGATGTATCATTAACCAGAGGTTTAGGTGTACAGAGTTATCATTGTTTAAATATGTAAGTATACACAGGTATCATTAGTGAGAGGTTTCAGTGTATTTTAGTGTACAGAGTTATCATTGGTCAGATTTGTCAGTGTACAGAGTTATCATTGGTCAGATTTGTCAGTGTACAGAGTTATCATTGGTCAGATTTGTCAGTATACAGGAGTATCATTAACCAGAGGTTTAGGAGTACAGAGTTATCATTGTTTAAATATGTAAGTATACAAATGTGTCATTAGTTAGAGGTTTCAGTGTATTTTAGTGTACAGAGTTATCATTTGGGAAGATTTGTCAGTGTGCAGAGGTATCATTAACCAGAGGTTTAGGCATACATAGTTATCATTGGTCAGATTTGTCAATGTACAGATGGATCATTAACCAGAGGTTTAGGTGTACAGAGTTATTATTATTTAAACATATTAGTATACAAATGTGTCATTAGTTAGGGGTTTCAGTGTATTTTAGTGTACATAGTTATCATTGGTCAGATTTGTCAATGTACAGAGTTATCATTGGTCAGATTTGTCAGGGTACAGAGGTATCATTGACCAGAGGTTTAGGTATACAGAGTTATCATTGTTTAAACATATTAGTATACAAATGTGTCATTAGTTAGGGGTTTCAGTGTATTTTAGTGTACATAGTTAACATTGGTCAGATTTGTCAATGTACAGAGGTATCATTGACCAGAGGTTTAGGTGTACAGAGTTATCATTGGTCAGATTTGTC